TTTTAGCAAGCACTTACAACTAACATCTGAAATTATTAAAAATCCACTTGCTAAAGTGACCCCAACACACACTGCAATGGTACATTCCGTGTGACGAAAGCGGAAGGTTATTCACTGCAGTTTGATTAAGGAGCGGGAGACGTACTACTACAACCATGAAACGGAGTTACCCAAGTGGTGTAGAAAAACGGAGAAAACGGGAGGAGAACAGACAATTGATAGAGTCCTTGACAAAGGTAACAGCATTTTTTACACCAGTGCAGCAGACAGGTACTAACAACCCTAATAATGGTGACAGCAACAAAGTCGGCCAAGACGACACTGCTGTCACTAGCAACACTACTTCTGTTGATGAGCAAATGTTACCACAATCAGCAGCAACAAGTGATGCAGCTGCTACGCCACTCTCAGAACCTGCATCTTCTTGTGGAAATGCTGAAACAGAGAAGCAAATATCCTCTGTTGTATTAAGTGACAGTGTCAATGGTGTTAGTGTAGTGCAGGAGCCTATTGCTGGTTGTTCAAGCTATGCTGATAGAGCGAGCTCTAATGCACACATATATAGCGGATCACAACAAGCTGGTTCCTCCGCCCCTCCTAATGAATGTGTTATACTTGAAGATGACCCAGCATTATGGCCCAAGGAGCTTACAGACAAGGAGCGCTGCTCATTGGTGCTGAAAGGACCAGTTCAGGTGAAGAACAGAATATTTCCTAAGAATAAAGAGGGGCGCAGATTTACTAATAGTCACTACTACATACAATTAAAGAATGGAGAAGAGATAACCAGATCCTGGCTTGTGTACAGTGAAAAAAATGATTGTGTTGTGTGCTTTTGTTGCTGCTTGTTTGGAGACAGACAAAAAAATGCTCTTAGTGGGGAAGGATATAATGCTTGGAAAAATCTTGCAGCCCACTTGAAACACCAGGAGCGGTCCCCTGAACATATCACAAACATGGAGAGCTGGGCTGGCACACTGTATCACACAGACTAAAAACATGCACAGCTATAGATCAGCTGAACCAGGATAGAATTGCTCTAGAGGTAAACCGCTGGAAAGAGATTCTACGAAGAATAATTGCAATTGTGTGCCATTTAGCAGAACGTTGTATTGCATTTTGTGGACACTCAGAGAAGTTATTTGAGGCTGGCAATGGGAATTTTCTTGGTCAAGTGGAATTGATGGCTGTTCGACCCTGTTATGCGTGAACATTTGAGAAAAATTCAGGCTAAAGAGGTCAGTGACACTTATTTTAGCAAAGATATTCAAATTGAACTCATCTCCCTTGCAGCAAAAAGTACAACTGATGCAATTGTCCAAAGAGTTAAGAAAGCCAAATACTATGCAGTAATTATGGACTGCACCCCAGACCTTAGTCACAATGAGCAGCTGTCTGTTGTTCTAAGGATCGTAAATTGTGAGGCCTCAAAAGGTATCTCCATTCATGAACATTTTGTTGGATTCCTTCCGGCACATGACACAACTGAGAAAGGCTTATGTGAGTCATTTTTAGGACACTTAGAAACACTTGGTTTGGACCTTCCCAACTGTCGGGGCCAGTCATATGATAACGGGAGTAATATGCAGGGAAAAGAGCAAGGGGTCCAAAAGAGAGCGCTGGAACTAAACAACAAAGCATTATGTATTCCTTGTGGAAGTCATACACTGAACCTTGTTGTCAGTGATGCAGCCAAGTCATCTGTGACTTCTATGAGCTTTTTTGGTCTGTTACAGCGACTTTACACTCTGTTTAGTTCCTCAGTTCACCGCTGGGCCATTCTCAGAGAACATGTCAAGGATCTCTCAGTGAAGGCACTATCAACAACCAGATGGGAGTGTCGGGTTGAAGCTGTTAAAGCTGTTCGATACCAGCTGCCTGAAATATTGAAGGCTTTAACTGCTCTGATGAAGTACGCTACAGAGAAAAGGGATGCAGAAGTTCTTTCAACAGCTGGAAGCCTCCTCCGGGAGATGCAAGGGTGGCCATTTATGGTAAGTACCATTATATGGTACAATGTATTGTTCCAGATAAATAAAGTCAGCAAGATCCTGCAGAGCCCCAAAATTTCAGTTGAAACTGTGAGGAGAGAGTTTATGGCAGTGACAGAATTTCTTCAGGAATTTTCGTTTCTAGTTTTCATATTATTCTTGCTTCAACATCACAAGATTCATATGTTTTTTCCATCCACTAAAGCTCATTTGATAAAGGAAGAGTAAGCTATTTTAAAAACTTAAATAATGTCCAAAAAACTGGGGGAAAGAATAAAAGCTAGAGAAATACAGTGGCAGAAGAGGAGAAGAGAAGAAAAAACATGAAAATAACATTTGAGTTAAAAGACAGCAAGGGACAGAATGACAAAGGAGAAGAGAGAGAGAGAGAGAGAGAGAGATCCAAATAAACAAAAAATCAATAAAGGAGAAGGGGAAAGGTGTAGAGAAAACATGCAAAAAGAAGAGGAAAGTAAATATAAGGATGACAGAAAAGAAGCAGGAGATTGGAAGGAGGGAAAGAAAGCAGTCAAGGAGCAAGAGAAATATATATAAATAAAAGCATTAAAGAGACAGAAGAAGAAAAAGAAGAAAAAGAAGAAAACATAAAACCAAACAGACTGAATACAGAAGCAAAGAAGGGAAGGCAGGGATACAGATAAGAGGTAATAATTTTAATAAGTATTATTTGTGTCGCTCCATTTACCTGTCATGGGTTTTCTTACTTTAGTGAAACAACATAGAAGACAGAGGCCGATCATCAAATATTAATCTGCTGGAATAAAAAGGTAACTGATCTGTGATATCAGATGTGTGAACTGACAATGAGGTACTTTCTAATTGTAGAAAAAACATTTGGTTGTGAAAAGATTTTAAAGGTCATGCATTAGTTACCCTGTTAATATGTTTAGTTGTTTTTTTTCTACAGGGCTGTTCTAGACATCTGGATAAGATTGATCTGGGATGACGAGTGAAGAGAATTTTAAGGTAGGCCTTAAAAAAAGCACGTAATGCAGAGGGCCCCATATCCATGTTCGCCTTGAGCCCCAAAATTGCTAAATCCGCCACTGGACAAGAGAAGACAAGACAAGACAAGACTTGACTTTATTGATCCCAGACCGGGGAAATTTTATTGATACTAAAGCCTAAGAAATACAACAGCAATAGAAAAAAAGAAACCGAAAGCTACTATAACAAAATAGTAATAAATAAGAAAGACAAGCAATGAAAAACTCGCACACACAGTTACTCATATTGTACACATGACATGGGTAGTTGCATAGATGATACATATACAGATAATGCACCGAGTGGATATAAATATATAAGCTGCGTAGATACAGTGGATATTGCGCAGTGTAAGAACATAGTGGACAGTCAGTAGGGGAATTGCACGTGGGTAATTGCACAGATGAATGACACACATACAGATGCACCGGGTGAATAAAAATATACAAGTGACATTTATGCAAAAATTGTGGACAAAACTATGACCTTCTCACACTGTTCACTGCTGTGTTATAAAGTCTAATGGCAGACAGAATGAAAGGTTTGTGGAAGCGTTCCTACTTACATGCTGGATGCCGCCGTCTGGTGCTGAAGGAGCTGCGTGACGCTCCCTCTGTCACATGCAGGGGGTGAGAGGGATCGTCCACGATGGATGTAAGTTTGGCCGACAGCCTCCTCTCAGCCGCCTCCTCAGTGGAGTCCAAGGAGCAGCCCAGGACAGAGCCAGCACTCCTGAGCAGCTTCTTTAGTCTTCCTGCCCCTCTCTGAGCTCCCGCATCCCCAGCAGGCCACTGCAAAGAATACTGCAGATGCTGCTACTGTCATAAAATGTCCTTAACAGTGTCCTGCACACTGCGAAGGACCTCAGTCTTCTCAGCAGGCGGAGACGGCCCTTCCTGTACAGGGCGTCTGTATTGTGTGACCAGTCAGAATCAGAATTCGCTTTATTGGCCTGGAATAACTGCACGTACTAGGAATTTGTTTTGGCAGTATTGGTGCTTACGTTCACAAATAACATAGTAGAACAAGAATATAAATTAAGAAACATAAGTAGAGATAAAATAATAAAGGAATAAAATAGTGCAAGCTGTGCAATATAATTGTAAGGACATTTAAGGGGAACAGAGGTATATTGCATACTGGAATATAAAGGTATGAAAATATATGATGTCCAGCAGATAACAGATGATGTACAAGGATGCAGGCAGGGAGGCTCATGCTGAGGCACCGTCTGCAGATCTATTGGCTCTGTAGACAAACTGCACTGGGTCCAGGAGGGAGTCAGTGATCCATCTGAGGTGAGACAGTCCAAGACACTCAAATGACCTGAATAAATGAATTATACAACAGCACCTGTTCTCCCCTTTAAGGAGGAACAGCATCTGTCCAGCAAATGGAGAGCATATGACTTCTGTGCAATTTATGGTAGGGGCCCGAGGTGTGCTTTGTTTCTCCTTGCTTCTTCTGACTCTGTCTGCACCACACAGGAGCGAGGAGTGTCTGCTCCTCTCAGCACTGTAGCAGGCTCCTGCGTTTTGGTAATCCAGACTCGCTGACCTGCTTTTAGCTCTGGTTTTGGTAATCCAGACTCGCTGACCTGCTTTTAGCTCTGGTTTTGGTAATCCAGACT